TCTCTCTCTCAGTGTATATTTCCATGTTCTAGCACCTAAATGTGGATCACCCCCTTTTGTCGCCAATCAAATGGTTCCAATAACAAAAAGCAAGACCTATGAAAATCACATCCTTGCAATGGCAGATTGCCCACCGTTGTCTACCAACTAACGACTGGCTAACGAATCGCACTAACTTATAACAAAAAGGTCTGCTGCTTCCATGATGCCACCGGTGCCAGAGCCTTTTTCCATTCTACAGGAAGGCGGAAACCATTGAACATATCTTCATGCAATGCCCGATCGCCCAATCCATATGGAGATGGTGGGATCGCATCTGGAGAAAGATAGAATCTGTAACCCCCTGACCCTGGTCTTGGCAGGCCATTCTGGCCGGTCGTTTGCCGCAGGCAGAAGCAGCTACGACCTTCGTAGAAAACATGTACAAACTTGGAAGGAGAGCGGTAATATGGGCACTTTGGTGGCAAAGATGCATTTCGGCCATGGAGAAGGTGAGAGTAGAAGAGTCGGAAATCACTTAACAGATTCAACAGCAGATACACTTCGAACTCACACATAGATGGTTAGACACAAAAGCACAGTTAGACCTCCTTAAACAGGTAGAAGATATCAGGAGACGGATCACAACATTTTGCACAGACTGGGTGGAAAGGGAGAGAGAAGGATGGATTGTGAAAGTAGAATGGAGCGGAGACAAGGGAAAGGGACAGTGGGATTTGGAAAAGATGAGAAACTATCGCCTGTGTTTTAAGGACTGGACAAACATTGAACCCTCATTCCCACTCCGCCCCCCCTCGGACTTCCCTGACCCCTTCCCACCCCATGCCCTCTCCCTGACAAAGATCATGTCCTAACTGAGGAATTTTGTTACCCCATCTTCTGCTCACTCGTACTCAAATAAGAAATAGTCTTTCTTCTGCAAAATACCCAATTTTTCCATTTTCGTCTCTCTATCTTGCTGCTCAGTTACCCCCCTGCTTCTACGGAGTGGGGCAGTCAATGCTGGCAGCCTGTCCATGAGGGCAGCTTGAACATTTTGGGTCAGTGAGTATGGGGGGCTAGTTAGGGGTGGGAGGACTCGTGTGCAGTTGCAGGTACCTGGCGCCAGATACCTGCATTCCAGGGTAATCAATGCTCGCAGGGCCCCCCCGCAACCTAATTGATTGAAGGGTCCGAAGACTGTTTAAGTTTTTCTGGGGGGGGGAATAGGGGAAAAAAACTTGAAAAGAAAGAGATGGGATGGGGGGTGCAACGCTACCGGGAGCGCTGCGTCCGCCCGGGTCGAAATGACGGGTGCACTAACGCTCGTTGAGACGTGAAGTTGCGATGGCGCTTTCGCGAGAGCATGACGGGTCAATATCATGGTTGACGATGACGCTTCTTAGAGACTTCCATAGATATGGAGACAGGAGGGGTGTCTGGTTTGAGTAGCCATGTGGGGGAGGGTATCACGTGGCATAGGGTTATGAGGGCACTCTCTCTGTCTTCTGTGTTTAATCTTTGTCTCTCGCTTCTCCGGTTCGTTGCTGTCATAGGTCGTTGGATTTGGACTGAATTCTCTGTGAAGCTGTGTTGACGGGCTTGACATAGTCATTTACAATGCAACTGCGTTCGGGGAGTAACAGGGAGGGGGGGGCGTTACACTAATCTCTTCTGGTTGGTGCACTGTGTCGTAGGGCTATACTAGCACCAATTGTGGGGAGGAGGAGTGACTCCTTCTATAGGAAGACTCAGAGGCAGGGGCTGAGTTTGGTATGGACAACGGTTGGGCAGTTGGACAAGGGTCCGGGGACTGTGGGAGTGGAGTGGTGTGTGATGGTCTGCAGCGATTGGTGACTTCATGTGAAGTTCAAGGCGGCGTCACGTAGCGACGGGAACTCTGAGTGCAACATTTTTTTCAAAATATAACCCGAAGTACTACTCCAATAGATGATTTGATTGCTAGGGATGTCTGATTGATGGTGTTGCTTGATTTTGTTTTTTAAATTGAAACCTAGTCTATTTCATGATATCTTTTTGGATGGTGATCAACAGTCAACAAATGAATCAGATCTGTAAATTTGATTTTTTTTTTATTCTCAAGTCGTAATTTTTTTTTCCATAGATTGATGTTCGAAGTTTACAATCGACTACT